AAGCAGGGGGTCAGAGGGCTATTTGCACACCCATGTTGATAGCATTATTCACAGCAGCCAAGAGGCAGAAGCAACCCCATGTCCATGGATGGCTGAATGGGGAAACAAAGTGTGGTCTACACACATGATGGAATATTACTCAGCCTTTTAAAGAGAGGAAGCCGTGTCACATGCTACAACATACAAACTCTGAGGACAGGCTAAGTGAAAGAAGCCAGTCACAGAAAGACCAATACTGTAGGATTCCACTTATATAACTAAATTAGTCAAGTTCATAGAAACAGAGAGTAGGGGGGCAACTGACTGGCTCAGTCAGTAGAGCATGTGACTCTTGACCTCAGGCTCATGAGTTTGAGCCCCGCATGCGGTGTGTTTACTTAGATTTTTTTTTTTTTTTTTTTTTAAAGAAACAGTAGAGTGGTTTTTGCCAAGCTCTGCACTGCTGCACTGCAGGGGAGGGAGATATGGGAAGTTGCTGTTTAATGGGTACAGAGTTTCAGTTTTGCAAACTGAAAAAGTCTTGGAGAGCTGTTGTATAAGGATATAAATGAACTGTTAAAAAAACAAAACAACAACAACAAAAAGCATTTGGGGAAGGGCTGCTCCAGGCCGATCTAAGAAGAAAAATAAAAAAGTTAAAAAAAACAAACCTCCGCCTGCCCTGGGGTTGAGCTGGTGAGACTTGCTCACGGTGAGAGTCCCCCGGGTCAGGCCCACCTGGCTTTCCTTCTCAGCCGGGCTCCTGTTCTCATCCTCCGGCAGGTACGCAGTGATCCGATTCCACCAGTACTTCAAGGTGAAGCCTCAAGTGTCAGCCTTGGAGATGCCAAAGTGACCAGCTTCCCCATCTCTCCCTTACCCATCTGCCTGGCCAGACCTGTTCTCCAGGGCTCTGTCCTGCTCTGGGGGCCACACACTTGGACAAGGTGGGAGAGGGGTCAGGTGGGTGTCCAGGGAGAAGGCTCCACCCCTGCCGCCAGCCCCCAGTGGATGCTGCTGGAGACCACATTCTTTTGTTTGGAGGGGCTGATAGGACCCAGCTCTGGGGGGTCCCCTTCACCTTGCCAGACTTGGGGGGAGGGGGCTGGGGGGGGTTGGGGAAGTGCCTGTAAGTCAGCCAGGGCCTGGACCACAACCACCCCTGGGAAGCCCAGTATTCCTGGCCTCAGGCCAGGCTGGAATCAGGGCTGCCTTAGATGTGTCTTTGACCTTCCTGGCTTGGGGAAAGGGGGAGGTGGGAGGGCTCCTTTCTACCTCCAGTGCCCTGAGCCTCCAGCCCATCTCCCCCTGCATGCCTCACGTGGGAGGTGCTGATGAACCCAAACCAGCATCATGCCAACTCTGACCGATGGATGTACATATCCGGGGGGGGGGGGGCGGGATGGTCTAGAACTGGGTTTAACGGCTCCCCCCAAAGCCGCCTCATCTGAGATCCCTCCCTTTCTCCAAGCCAGATCCAATCAAACCACCCCTTCCCAGACCTCTGCCCCAGGACCTGTGCTCCTTCGCCTCCCGTGCCCTTTTTGTTCTGTGCTTGTGTTCTGTCTCTCTGCCACCTGCTGGGAGGGAAGGCAAGGGGGTGGTGCCCTCCTGGGCCTCCAGAGCCCAGCTCTGCTTTGTGCTTGGCTGGAGGGGGACAGAACCCAGAGGGGGGTGGCCAGCAGCAGCCAGCAGCTTTCTGCCTTGTTCCCTGCCCTGCCCTCCAGGGCCTCAGTTCTAAGGATTTATCTCCCTCTCTCCACCTGTCCTGAAGTGGACCCAAGCACTTCCCACTAGGAAATGAGTAGTGGGAGTCAAGGGGCCGGGGCTAGGAACTTCGGGGCTCACCGGGCATCCAAGAGCCTGGGTAGGATGGGTCGTGAAGGTGCTGAGCTCATGGCCCCGGACTCTCAACGCCCTCCACCTCCTCTCTGCCCTCACAGCCTCCTGGCTCTGGCCCAAAAAAGTGATTCATTTGTAAATTATCATGGTTTTCTGCATTAAAATGGCCATTTCTGGACCACTCTGTGTCTGAGTGCCTACAGTGAGGATTTGCCTGACATAGAGGGGATGATGGATTAGTTCTCCCGCAGTGGGGTGGGGGTGGGGGGTTGCAGCCCGCGCCTCCAGGGGTCCCTGGGGCTGCACGTTTCCTACCCCACCCTCCTCCGTGCACCTGGCTCGCAAGGCCTGGGCTCCTGGTTTGGGGTAGGTCTGGACACGACTAGTGCCTTCACCACTCTTCTGCCTTTGACTGTCTTGCTAGAATAAGGGGAGCCCAGGAGGATACTGCTACTGGGGAAGGGAGCTAGGCTGGGGCCTCACCAGGCGGGAAACCAGCGAGACCTTGCGGGGACGCACTCAGGACCTTCTTCCTGGGCCGGGTTTTGGCTCCTAGCCGTTGAGGGGGAGGGGGTGTTGCTCTGCTGGAGAGCAGGCAACGATGATTTCTGGAATGAATCGGTCACTTTCTCAGAAGGCCTGAGGGAAGGGAGAGCAGAAGCTCAAAGGAGAGCCGGGGTACCCCTCTCAGCAGCCCGGGCTGCCGAGGCAGCGCTGCCTCCAGGGCCCCCTAGAAGGTGCCCGGTGCCCTGAAGATTGGGGAGAGCAGTGGCTGCCTGCCAGGTAGACTGGCTGTTTGGCTTCTGCCGGCAAAAGTACCGGCTGCCATGGAAACCGCTGGAGCAGAGCTAGCCCCAGCAGCTGGGGCCTTCAAGGTCATGGTGATCCAGTGTGGCGGGGGGGGGGGGGGGGGGGGGGGGGGGGGGAGCCGTACCAAGCCCAGGAAGGGTATGGGAGAGGACGTGGGGGGAAAAGGTGGGCCCGGGCCTAGGGACAGTGCTGGGGCTGGGCAGGCAGGGCCCCTCAGGGGTACCATGGGGTCAGGTGCTTGTGGGCAGGGCCTTCTTGTGGACTAAAGGGCAGTGCCCACCCTGCTTGTTCCTCTCAGATCCACCTCTGGAGCTGAGGGCAGAAATAACCACTGGGAAGGCAGCTTCGTTTCCAGCCTCCTGGGGCCTTGATGTCACAGCGTTGGAGACGGTGTTGCGGTGGTGAGCAGGGAATGGCTGGGACAGGGTCCCCCAGGTACCATCCTGTGCCCCTACGGCCCCGGCCGCCACCTGCACCAAAGGAGCGAACCTGCAGGCACCATCCCACTGCCTTTGAGAAAACATCCTCATTCCTCCAGTGCTCCAGGGGAGGGGGCAGGTGGGGGCGGGGGGGGGGGCTGGGTAGTTTAGGAGGCCCCTCCCCCTCAAGGCCTGGAGTCCTGTCTCTCCTTTCACTGCCACCCCAGACTAACCAGCACCCCTGCCCCCCTGGTTCCAAGCACCAGGCCTTGGCAACTCCCGGGGTCGGGGGGCTGGGCTCTACTCTCTCAGACCTTTGCTGGACACACAGCAGGAGCTCCGGGCAAAGCACACCAGGGCAGAGGTGGGTCTCGGCTGGGCTCTGACCCTTGGCCTGTGCCTCCTGCAGAGCGCGCAGAGAAGGCCCCAGCCTTCTGGTAATGACCAGGACCTTTTGTTCCTGGCCTCACTGCCTACCTGACGCTATTGCCTCTCCTGAGGCAGGAGGGATAGGGCTCCAGAGTACCAACCAGAGGTCCTCGTGGAGGGCACTGTCCATCTTAAAAGGACGCGGGGCATGTGATTCCATCCCAGCAGCTAGAATGAAGGCAGGACAAGGGGTCCTAGAGTGGGAGGATGACAGTATTGGCCCCAGGCTCCCCTGAAGCCACAGAGGACCTGGGAATAGGGAAGTGAGAAGAACTCAGGACTGGCAGGGAATGAGGGTGAGCCTGGCTGGGAGGGTCCTGACAGACTGCCCTGATTGGGTTAGGAACACAGTGTGGGAGGTAGTGGAGTCTGGAGGGTGGGAGAACAGGGCCAAGTTAAAGTGAGCAATTCTCCCCATGACCACTAGAGGGCAGGCGCCGCAGCCAGCCATCCTCCTCAAGGACCACCCGGGTCTTTTCCTGGGGGGCCAGGGAGGCTGGGCTGTGCTTGTACCCTGCCTGAGATGGGGAGGCCTAAAGCTCTGGGACGAACCCGCAAAGGCCAGCAGCCAAAATGCCAGGACCTAATTCCGGGGGGCGGAGCGGGGCGGGGGGGGGGGCGGGGGAAGTCTTCACTCCCCAGTTAGAGGCCCTGCAATGAACCACACCTAACTTCTCTCACCCCCATCCTCTCCTGTCTCCCTGGTTGTGAACACACGACCTCTATTAATCCAACCCAAGTCTCTCTTCCACTAGGATTACCCTTCAGCTTTGCTGCCCCCATTCCATACAATGGGATTAATGTTTGATGAGAGTTGGTCTTTTTGTTGATCATCGTTAAAAGGGCTGATGACAGACTAAAACTTAAGTCTAAGGGGCTGTGATTTCTCTTAGTGTGGGACACCTTTGAAATCCTCATTCAAACCAAAGCTCACCGAGCCCCTGGAGCACATCGTTAGCAACCTTGCTTCATTACTCAGTAGCCTGGAGGGCTCCTAAATGGGCTTCGGGCACCCATGGGAGTCCTTTCCTGGGAGGAGGGTCCACCGCTTTCATTAGATATTCACTGGGCTCCTTCTCCAAAAGGAGATAAGAACTACGGTGAAGGCTTAACCTCCGTGTTTTCAGAGGACAAAGCCCAGAGGGGAGACCTGACACCCGCCTCTCAGCAGAGGCCATGGGGCTGGTTCTGGCCTCCTGCTTCCAGGGCTCTCATTACTGAGACGGGGGTAGACAATGTGTGGTGAAGTCTAGCTTACCTCCTGGAGGCAGGGGCAGGGTCTTCTCCGGGGTGCAGGCTCTCTGGGTGGCATCTGTCACTCCAAAGGCTTGGCCTGGGCTTCACTGGCCTCAGAGGTTTGCTCCCAGATCCCATGCCCGAAGCTCCCCGGAGTTGCCACAAGGGGGCAGTGGTGCCCGGGCTGGCGGCACATTCAGGCATTCAGGCTCCAGGCCAGCCTCCCCACCCCCCCACCCCCCCACTCCCCCCCCACTCCCCCCCCACCCCGACGTAAGAACCAGATTCTGAAATGGTCTGTCTTTATTATGCCAACAGAAAAAAAAATTCCCCAAGTGTAAACAGGAGAAAGGTGCTGGTTAAGTTACTCATCATTATCTTATTATTAACAAAATAAAGCACTATCTATGTTTACAGTCATAAAAAAACAGCCTGGAGAGAAGTTGGGCTTGAGGGAAGGGGGGGGGATGGAGAGGAAGGGGAGAAGATTGGGGGGGGGTTAGGCACAGATGCCACATCTGCCCCCGTGGGGTTTGGGGTTCCCTTCCCACCCTGACCCAAGGGCTGTTCTGGATCTATGTGGAGTCAGGTGCCCGTGGGATTTTTCTTAGGGAAATAATTTGTCCATGTGAGCAGGAGCTGAGTCAAGTTCCCCAGTGTGAGGGGGGGAGGGGGAAGGAGCAGGCAGGCAGAGGGGCAGAGTCCTCACCACCCCAAGAATGGGGAGCCCCCCTTCCCCTCCCTACTCAGCAGCTGCCATGAGGAGCCCTGGCTCTCCAGGGCTTCTGTCAACTGTCAGGAAGGGGGGGAGGGGCGCCATCAATCCTGTCCCCAACACCTGGCACTCAGGCTGGGACCAGGGGCTGGGGCACTAAGACAGAGCCCCTTGGAGGCTGAGCACATTCCCATGTTGCTCGGAGCTAAAAATGGCTTTGTGGGAACCGCCGGGCAGGGGAGAGTCAGGGAGGGCGTGAAGGGACAGGCAGGGCAGGTCAGGGCGGCTGATGGGCCCCGGGGCTGACCGGGGGCCTTACAGAAACCCAGACTGACCAGCGGTGTCAGAAGGGCAGAGGCGCAGACCCCAAGAAAGGGAGACGGGAGAACAGCCCTGCAGAGAAACGAGGACAGAAACACAAGGACACACAGAACCTGAGACACCCAGACTGACAAAGAGGTAGCAATTTGGGGACAGTGAAGCACGGAGGGGCCCCCAGAGAAGCAAGAGTGGTATCGAGAGACACCCACAGAACTCAGCAACGGTGCCTGGCACGGAGCAGGCGCCCAATAAATACCTTGCGCCATGAGTGGACAGATGGAAACACGCGTGTGCTTGCGCGCGCACACATACACACGCACACGTCTATACACCGCCGCCAGAGGCACAACAGGCTGGACAGAAGATCAAGACAGCGAGGGACAGCCAGACCTTTTTGCACAAAGTGATCCTGTGACAGAGGAGCGATCTGGGAGTGGGAGTGGGGGGGGGGGGTGTTGGTCCTACGGGGGCTGGTCCAGCCAGGACAAAGAATGGAAACAAAGCATGTGGCCCCAGGGGGACAGGTCTGGAGCTGCCAGACCCCTGGGGTGAGGAGACCTGCAGGAGGGGAGGGTCATACAGTGTCCGCTGGCTCTGAGCCCCGCAGGCCGAGGCGCGCAGCCCCCGACCACTCTCCAGGTCCTGCCCCGTGAGGCCAGCAGCTCCCTGGGCGCGGCCGCAGGGCTGGTGCGGGGGGTGGGGGGGGAATCCCCCCCCCCAGGAGGCTATCTACAAGTGCACAGCTGTGCCCCTCTCCCGGGCAGGCCCAAGTCCAAGTACCAACAAAGTCCAGGCCGGCCGACCGCGCCCACGGGCTGGGGGCCGGGCCCACCCCGCTCGGATCAGTCTGTGAGCACCACCAGCTCCCCGTCGCTCTTCTCGTCGCCCTCCGAGTCCTCGTCTTCGCTGTACCGGTACAGCTCACCCTCCGCCACCGAGTGCCTGTCTTCCGTGGCCTCCCCCTCCTCCCTGAGGCTGCAAGTGTTGACGATGACAGGCATGTTGGGGTCCAGGCTCCGGGGCACGTAATGCTCCACCAGGGGCTGAGCCAGGGGCATGCCTGCCACCCGAGGGTACAGGACGTCGGGAGAGCTCATCTGCAGGTGGCCAGCCTGGGGGCTGCAGGGCAGAGGAGAGGCACGTTGCAGAAGGACCCTCACTTTGCACCCCCCATAAAGCTCCCCCCAGGCCGCTTTGGGGCTGTGCCCTCCCACCCCACCACCACTCTGTCGGCTCGGACGCGCACGCACGCTCGCATGCACGCACACGCACACCCCCCCTGGGGCTGCCTTCTGACGGCCACATTCACTGTCAGCTACAGCCCGGCACACACGAGCAGCCTCAGGGCCAGGAGCGTGTTCCACAGAGATTCCCGGGGGGAACGTGTGGGAATCAGCATCAGGAAGTGATAGACTTAAATGCCCCAGGGGGGTTCCCGTTTACACGAATCCACGAAGGTGCTTGCTTCTGACAAGTCAGGTACCCCCTGTATGATAAGCACCTTTGTTTTTAGTAGCCCTGAATTTTTTCATAGAGTTTGTGATTCACAGGCACGTTTTCCTCCAGGTATACGTGGCCAGTGCCCCCCAGTCAGGTACAAACCGATACCCTACACCCCTGCAGCCCCACGGGTGGGCCCAGGGAGCCACACATGACACCCACGCACACGTGCACTCCAGGCCAGACAGCACCCCCGGAGACCCCGACGAAGGCTGCCACACACCACCATCAGCACGCACAGCGCAGGGACGTGAGCGTGGTCCCCACCACCCGGGGAGGCACGACTCACGGGGTCACGTAGCTCTGGCGGGCGTCCTGGCGCCGGGTCCTCATCAGCGCTTTGTACTCGCCCACCCGCAGCCGCTTGCCCTCCACGATGCAGGTGCGCTTGGGCCGGGGCTTGTACTTGTAGTCGGGGTACTTCTCCAGGTGCTGCCGGCTCAGCCTCGCCTGCTCCTCGTAGTACGGCTGCTTCTCCTGGTTGGTCATGGACTTCCAGCGGGAGCCTGGCCCAGCCCCCGGGGTGGGCAGTCAGTGCGGGCTTTTGCCCACCATCCCCAGCCCCCCTGCAGGCCCCAAGACTTGGGTCCCCAGGTGAGTCCATGAGGTGATCTATGTGCCGACATTCGGCAAGGACCTGGCCCAACACAGGGGCTCGTTGGAGGTCCGTGGAGCAAATGAATGAATGAAGCTGGCACGTGTCTGGGTGTCTATACACTGAGCAACCACGTCCCGAACTACCCAGCAACTTCTGGGAGGCCTCTGGTCTGCATGATTTGCATAAACAAAAGAACAGCCAACCCCAGGCCTCCAACAACAGACAGCCCCCCCCCCCCCGCCCCCCGGCCTCCTGCTTAAGACAAAATACCTTGTCAACTGTCTCGGTTGACAAGAGACAAGAGCCTCCATCTTGAAGACAACTGCCAACTTCTAGCCCCACCTGCCCTACATCCCTCCTTGACCTCCAGCCAGGACATAGAATTTTTTAAAAAAAACCTTTCTACTGGGGCAATGGCTGGCTCAGTCGGAAGAGCGTCTGACTCTTGTTTGTGAGTCTGAGCCCCATGTTGGGTGTAGAGATTAAATTAACGTTTTAAAAATTATATATATATATATATATATATATAAAACCTTTCTAACAATAGCCCAAGAACACCAGTCCTTCCTTTTTCTTGCCAGAGCCAGAGTTCCAAGGGTCTGGACCAACAGCAGAATAGGTTAGGGAGAGACCAGGGGCTAAAGAATGCATGCACGCACACACGCCTGAGTTCTTAGGTGCAGGTGCTAACCAAAGAGCCCTACAATGATACAAGACCCCAGGACCCAGCCTCTGCACATCCAGCCTGACCCCTGTACCCTAGACTCCTCTGAAGGTCATCATCCTGACAGCTGTCTCCTGGAGCCTGGAGAGCTCCCAGACACCCCACCACTGGCCCTTACCCAGGATCTTGCTGATGCTCGAGTTGTGCATGTCTGGGAAGGCTTGGAGGATCTTCCGTCGCTCGTCCTTGGCCCACACCATGAAGGCATTCATGGGCCTCTTGATGTGGCTGCTGCTGCGGGACTCAGGAAAGTGGCGGGAGCCTGGGGGACAGGGGTGGAGTCAGCCAGGCGGGGCGGCTCCTCTCGGGTAAGGAAGGAGAGGCCTCCGCGGCTGGCAGTCATCTCCTACTTGACCACTAGGGGGCGATGGCGGGGCTCCCACAGCCGCCAGTGGACAACCAACCAGCAGCACAGACCTCCGCAGAGGCCCAGCCGGGGACTGTGGAGGGGATTCCAGAGACAGACTATGGGAGAAAAAGCATCAGGGAGAGACACGACCTGACCCACCCTGGTCCCCGTGGGAAGCAGAGGCGGGCCCTCCTGCCCACCACAGACCGGGGTCCTCACCGTCCATGTCGCAGCCCAACATGGCTTCTTCCAGGGGATGCACACAACTCTCCTCCAGCCGCTCCTTGGCGGGGGACGTGTCCAGGCTGATGAGGTCCTGAGGATGACAGAGGAAATCTACATCGGCCTCTCTGCATCACCCCACTGCCCTCCCTCCACCCTTCCCTCTGGTGGCCTCAGACTTGAGTCTTCCACCCCAGCCACCGTCTGTTGTCCGTGCCCTGCGCCCCGGTGCAGGGGAGTGGGGGGCCCATACCTTGCGGAAGGGAGTGTTGGGGGAGTTCTCTAACGCCCCACTGTGGCCATGCAGCAGCTGTCGAGCATCCTGAATGGCTTTGGTGACAGCGTCCCCTTCACCAAGGAAGCCTGTGGGAGAAGGGGGGAGGCTGAGGGTTCACAGAGGGGGTAACTCTCTTCACCGGGGTTGGCATCCCCTCTGCACTGCACATCCCCAAGGGGGCGCTGTTTACACTGGCTGTTTCCCCGTGTGCCAACAGACTAGAATGCAGACTCGCACTCCCTGAAATTGTGCGACTCCGTGGCCTGGATCCCTGACATGGGGGTGCCCAGTCAGATCTGGTGGGGGACAGGAGGTAAGGGAGCTTCTGAGGCACTAAGTGTGGCAACAAAGAGGCCAAAGACAGCAGGTCTGACCCTTGTTTTCCAGAAACCTGTAACCCATAGAAGGGAAGGACATGCCCACAGTCATAGGACGCCCTGCTGGCAGGAAGCTTACCCAGTGGCAGGCTGGGCGGGCTGGCCTGCAGGTCCCGCGTGGGGGCCCCATGGCTGGGGGGGCGGGGTCCACAGTTGTTCATCTTCAGGCTGGGGGAGCTGGAGGCATTGGGCAGCTCGGGGGCCTTGGGCTTGGCCGTGAGGTTCAGGGGCTGGGAGGGCTCCTGAGGGAGACCCAGAGATCAGAGGCCAAGAGAGACACCAAAGGAGACCCCCCCCCCGACACACACACACACACATGGAGGGACAGAGGGGACACGTGGTAACAGCGAGAAAGACAGGTGTACCGGGAACAGACAAGGAGCCGGCAGGAACAGGTGAACAGGGACAGAGGGCCCCACCACCCGCGAGGCAGGCAGCCCCAGCCATCCCAGGCGAGGGGTAGGGCAGTACCTGCAGGGGGTGGTGGGCAGCCATGGCCCCGGGCCTCTTCACCACGGGGGCAGGGGGACTGTGCAGCAGCGGCAGGGGGTACTCCACTACGGAAAAGGCGGCAAGGAGAAAAGTCCTGGATGAGCACAGAACAGCAGACAGCCTGCTTGACGAGGTCCCAGCAGCATCAAGGGGACAGAAGCTCGAAGCTGGCCCAGTCGGCTTCCAGCCACGGCTTTCCCCAGCCCCAGAGTGTGAAGGCTTCCCATGCCCTCATCCCCCGCTGGTCCACATCTTCACCTTTTTCCTGCCCTTTCCAACCCACAGAGCCTCAGGTTCCAACCCAATGGTGACCTGAAGCCAGGTACACCTCTGCTCACTCTACGGATACTTGTGTTCCATACCTACTACGTGCAGGGTATGAAAGCTGCTCCCTGCGTGTTAGCCCGTCTCCTGAAGTAGCTCACAATAATCCCTAGTGGGTGGCATACAACAGGTGCTTGGTACATCACCCCATTTTGCAGAGAAACGGAGACTACGCAGATGAAAAACGGGTTGCCCACATAGCTCAGAAATGGAAACAAGGACCTGTGAACCCAGGTCCTCGAGACTCCATAGCCCATCCTTTCCCCTTTATGTGGCACCCACCTTCTCCATTCTCCATCCTACCGGGCCCACCTCACTCGCCCTCAACCCAGCCCAGCATCACGGAGCTGGCTGTTCAGGTGGAGAGCTAAGCCACGGACACAAATCACTAACCACATGGCCAAGAGGGATACAGACTGCATGGGTAGCATGCCAGAGAACCTGGTTCCAGCTGCGGGGGCCGGAGCAGGCTTCCTGGGGAGAGCGGCAAGAGGTGGTGGGCTCGTGGCTATGGGCGGGCAGGCGGAGGGCGAGCACTGAGGTGAGACCCAAGGTGTGGAAAAGGAGACTGGCCGTGACAGGCAACCTTGGGAGTTTGTGGACTCCGTACTGTAGGCGACAGGGCACCATCTAGGGCTTGTGAGCTAAGGAGAGGCATTATGCACTCAGCTTGGGGAAGGGCCCTCTGGAAGCCTCTGGGCCCCGTGGTTACTAGGATTCTGGAACCAACAAAGTGGGTGGCAGTCTGGCCAGTTGAGGTCTTCCACAGCTTGTTTCCTGCCTCCCTTGTCCAGAACGCACGGGCTCATGCACCCCAATGCCCCCACCAGGCCCTGCCCTCCTCACTCCAGCAGCCCTATTCACCTGGAGCTGCAGTGGGTTTGTGCTGCTGGCCTGCTCCCCCTTCCTAGTCTCCCTACCTCCCCAGGTGGAAACTTTCTGGAAGGCAGGACCTAACTTTTTCAGTCCTTTGCCCGCCCCCACCGCCCAGAGTGCCTGGTGTAGAATGAGGCAGGAGCAGAGTCCGTGACCCACGAACTGTGCCCATAGCCCACAGGCCTTGGTGGCAGGCCCACAGGAACTCACCCGCCTGCTCTCACACACGGAACAGGGAGGGTGGACCAGAGGGGCTCGACCTAAAAGCTGTCCCCACTCCTGGGGCAGCTATGGGCAACGTCCCTGCCCTGTCCCATGACCCTTCACCAGGAACCCATGATCACGGACTACATACTCTAGCTGTGCTTCTGTCCCACCACCGCTGCCTGAGTGCAGGCTGTCATTGCTGTCCCCAGAAGTCCCTCAGCAGCCCCCCACCGGTCCCCGCTCCAGCTGGTACCCCGACCCTCTCTGTTCCCCATCACCCACAGTCGGTATGACAACACACCCTCCGTTCAATCGTTCAAGCATGTCTACATTCTACAAAATAAATTCCCTCGCCAGCCTGTCCCACGACCACCCAGTCATGCGCTCCCCTCAACTCCAACCCCCTGCAGCTTCTGGCCGCAGGCTCCAGGCCCTCTGCCTCAGACTGCCTTCCACCCTCAGCTCCCAGCTTCACCCTCCCAGTCTACCTCCTGGGCCCCAACGAATTTCTGACCTCCTTAGAAAGCTTCCCAGATTCCCCAGTTTCTGGCATCCTTTCTCCCTGCCCAGACCGTAAATTCCTGGAGCTCAGCGTCCATTTTTATCATCACCCCTCCCCCCACCCCGTGGCCACCTGACAACACAACGTCTGACAGGTGGTTGGTGCTCAGTCTGTGTCCGCTGAATTTCAGTGGCGGGGCAGAAGGGGCACGGTTGGGTTAGAGACAAGAGTGAGAGTCTGGGAAATGTAGACACCTCAGTGAATGTCCAAGATGTTACTATTCTGGGCCACTAAAGGGACCAGAGCTGGGGACACTGCATCTAAAGTGGCCACATCCGCTTACGTCTGCCAAGTACTTCACGGTGTTCAAGTGCTATTGCTGTTCATTCTCCCAGTAAAGTTCAGACAGAAGGGATTCTTCTTCCACTGGACAAATCCAGAAGCGAGGCCCAGGAAGGCCACATGGTAAAGGATTGCATGAGCACGGTCCGGGGCTCCTTCTGGGACCTTAGGACAGCCTCCGCTAGCTGCCGCACCCCCACCCACACTCACCTGGTTTGCAGGGGATGGGCTGAATGGGCAAGGCCAGCTGGGAATCGGGGGTGACAGGCAGAGGCTGGTGGCTTGGCGGGAAGGCCGGGATCATGACATAAGGCATGTTGACCTGCTGAGAGCAAAGAAACCCTGTGTGAGTCCCTGGGGGCCCACACAGCTCAGCCCAGGACACGGCGCGGGCATCCAGACACGGGAGGCATGCAGACCAGTACAGGACCAGTCTTCAAAAGGCTCCACCAGACCCCACATCACTTCCCACTACCTGCCCTCAGCTCAGCCCCAGCTGGGGATGAAGATACTCTGGCCCCTCCTTTAAAACAGAGGAAGACAACGGGGGCACGGGACCAGAGCAGAAATGAGCCCCCTCCTCGGGGCCATGCCCAAGTGATTCTGCTTAATCCGCACCCCGTCCCTCCGTCCCTGGCATCACCCGCTGTGCCTCTGGCCACCCCCCTCTTTACCTGGATCTGCTGCTGGAGGAGGTTGATCTTATGTTGCTGCTGAATCAGCTGCTGCTGCTGTTTGGCGATCTGGCAGCAGGAAAGAGCAGGGAGAGGGGGGCACAGACATTAGCCCCAGTCCGGGGCCCACTGCGCCGTGCCCTCCGTACCAGTGCACACCATGCCCTGGGTGGGGCAAGCACCAGGACAGTCCACCTTCAGAGTACGGTCTCCCTTTGCAGGGAGCTCACGCTCCTCTGAGGCCGCGGCAGGAGGTGAGGCGAGTGCTCCCATGCAGAGCCCCGCAGGCCCCTTCCACTCCCTGGCCCCCCACAGGGCCGAGTCACAGCCAGCCTGGGGCCCCTGCCGACGGCCCCTCCCGGGCCTGCCCCCCTGCCCAGCCTCGCTCGGCCTGTACTACCAGGTCTGCCCCCGCAGTGCTCCCCTCCAGGCCCCGACAGACCCCCTCTCCCCTAGGCAAGGCAGCCGGACACCCAGCGGGACCTACCTGCTCCTGCTGCTGCCGGGCCAGCTCCATCTGCTGCTGCTGCTTCTCGAACAGCATGGCAGCCATGTTCTTCTGCTCCGAGTGCGCCGTCAGGAGCTGGTCCCGCAGCGTGGACAGTTGGTGGATCATGACCAGGAGCTGGAGCTCCTTCTCTGCCAGGCTCTCCTGGGTCCCTGCTCCACGATGAAACGGCCACCGGTGAGAACTGTTTTTCTGTCCATCTGTCCACACACACATCCACCCACCCATCCGATGTTCGTTGGGCAATTGCTACCTCCCAGGCCCCTGTTAGGGGCCGAGGGACAGAGGATGGAGACATGATCCTTGCCCCAGAGGGGGCTTGCTTGCTGTCTGACAACCACCTGCCCTACAAGGTCCCCATCCGCTGCTTCCAGCCCCTGGAAATGTCGACAGTGGGACATCTCAGTCCCACATCGCTTCTCAGAGGTCCTTGAGTGCCCTGAGCCGCAGGGTCAGCGTGGATATGCCACAGGAGGTTGTCCCGGGGCTGTGGGACAAGTAACCAACTTCTCTGCGCTTCGGTTTTTTTAGTCTATCAATGAGCACAAAAACGGTCCCTTCACAGGGGTGCCATGAGTCTAAGATCATGAAGGTAAGGCTTAGTCCAGAATCTGGCACACGGCCCTCGCCCAAAACAGCCACTGCTTCCTGCCCTCCTGCTGAGCTCATGACAGATGCAGCGGGGCCAGGCTGCAGGCCACTTGCCTCAGAATCACTCAGGGGGCCTTTGACAAATACACAGGCCCAGGCCCCCAGCCCCTGGGGTTCACATTCAGCAGGTGGAGTAGAGCCTGGGCATTGGTACGGTCTTAAAGCTCCCCCTGGGGGTGTGACCGACCACACTGGGAAAACAGCCACGCTCACGAACCAAGCAGCAGCCCTTGAATTCACTTAGTGAGGTCCCGGTGGCCTAGAATTAATTTTCAGCAGTGAAAGGGCATGTCCAGCTCGTTTGATATAGTTAGATACAGTTAGATCTGGGAAGTGGCAGTGACCTGCCTGAGGTCACAAGGGTCCCTGTATGAGTCCAAATTCAGGTGCGCCTGGGTGGTTCAGTCGGTTGGGCGGGCTGCCTTTGGCTCAGGTCATGATCCTGGGGTCCTGAGATCGAGCCCCACATCAGGCTCCCTGCTCAGTGGAGAGCCTGCTTCTCCCTCTCCCTCTGCCTGCCACTCTGCCTACTTGTGCTCGTGGAACGGAAGTGATTCCCACCAGGCCTCTCCTGCCAAGAGGCCAGGTAGGAGGGGACTAAGAGCCCCCCAAACTGCTGTACAGGCCCAGACCACATGGCCCGGCTGGGAGAAGGGAAAGGTTTCAGACATCCTCCCCTGCCGACCCACATGGGCCTTCACCTTTGACATCTTTGGTTTCCACAGAGCTCCTTCCCAGAAACCTCTCCTTCCAGTCACTGGACAGCAGCTTCTCGATGGCCGGCACGACTAGAAGATACCAAAGGGATGAAGAGCAGAAGTCCTAGCACCTCCCACCCCACGCCCGCCTCCGACCAGGGCAGACATCTTACCTTGCTTTTTTATTTTTTCCCCCCAAGATTTTATTTGAGAGCAAGAGCAAGAGAGAGAGAGTGTGCACGAGCAGGGGGCGGGGCAGAGGGAGCAGCAGACTCCCCACTGAGCAGGGAGCCCAATTCAGGACTCAATCCCAGGACCCTGGGATCACGACCCAAGCCGAAGGCAGATGCTTAACGACGGAGCCACCCAGGCGCCCCTAGACATCTTACCTTCTTTTAAATGTTGGTTGAAGTCTAGCTTCTCCTGGCTTCCAGAGGCGGCCTCAGAAGCTCCCATTCTCTTGGGTTCCGGGGACCCATTGCTCTCAGGGGAGCTGCAATCCTACAATACGCACTGAATATCACTGTCACCCTCAAGGGAAGGGGGCAGACTGCAGAGGGAACCGAGCAGCCCGGGGACACACACCCAGCCCCCCAGGTAGGGCCTCCCCCCGCCACCTTCCCAACCTTTGCTCTGGCTTTGCTGGATATAGCGAAGGCACAAAAGGTTTGCAGACCAGAGACCTGGATTTCAGTCCCGGCTCAGTGACTCACGAGGCGCTTGATCCCACATGAGACTCTGAACTTCTCTGAACCTGACTTACTTCCCTCTTCTGAAAATGGAAATATTAACACCTCCCCTGTCAGGATTGTTGCTGGGATCAAGGAAGTGAATGCACGTGAGTGAGGTTCGCCGCCACAGTCGAGGCTACCGAGCTATTAATCATTACTTCCTTGCACACAGCCGTATCTGCAGCTGGGTGGGGGACTCCTGGGACCCCCCCCCCTTAGGACACCACCACCCTCAATTCTCCTCACCAGAGTCCTCTCCATTCTTTAAGGCTTAATTCGGGGCCCTACTCCTCCAGAAGTCTTGCTCATCACTACCCCGACCCCCTAACCCCTTCCATAGACCCCTCCAGGCTGGATCCTTCCTCAGGGCCCTAAAATTCTCGTTTTCATTCATTTGGTTTTAGTTACATATTACCCTTTTTGCAGCTCTTGCATGGAATCAGGATTTTTAAGAGCTGCAAGAATCCTTCCTGCTCATGTTCAGAACGCCTTCATCTTAAGGATGAGGAACTGTATTGTCTTTAACAGTGGTTGATCTCAGGCTTGGGTAATAAGGCTGATTTTCTCAAATCATATGGTAGATAAACTCTGAGCAGATATATCCTGTCTCTCCAACTAGTCCTCAGAGGTAAGGACTGGTCACACACGGGTGAGCAAGCACAGGAGTGAGGCCACGTACCACTCAGACAGGTGGCCTGACTGAACTTGGCAGCCCCTCCCCAGCCACCGAAGTCTTGCCCGAGACAGCCGGTGCTGCCTCCTGTCTGCCCAGCTTGGGAAGTGGGGTGCCCGCCCAGCCTCAAGGAGAGGCCAGGTATGGCACGTGGGTGTGGCCCATGGAGGCAAAGCGGGGACACTGACCCAGGAGCCCCGGGGAAAGTGCCGGGCACCTGGGCTGGAGCTTGGGAGTCAGCACCGTCCTGGGGAGCCCGGGCTGGGTCTCCGGGCTGGGGTTCAGCTGTGGTGGCCGAGCCCTGGAGGGCCTCATGGCAGGGCTCCTTCTTCCCTTCGGACTTGACGGTGCAGTTCACCATGGTGCCCACGCCATCTGGGGCCAGCTGGGCAGAGCCAGGGCTCCTCATGGACATCCTGAGGGAGGAGCAGAGGGAAACCGATGGTGGATACAGCAACTCCACCCTCACCAAATGCAAACGTCCATTTGGAACCCACAGTGAAAAAAGTAAAAAAATATTCTTCAGTCCTGTGCTTTTTTTTTTTTTCTTAAATGGGAAGGTCTACAGCCAACTGGGCCCAGCCTTCAGCAGGTCCTGCCTACTGCCATGTTGGAGCTGGTTGGCTGAATGGTCCACCAAAGGAGGGCAGAGATTATCAACTGGCAGTTTCTGAGCCCAGCAAAGTCAAAATCATATATATGTGTATCTGTGTGTGTGTTTGTAATTAGCTAACTAAAAATCACGAGGGCGCCTGGGTGGCTCAGTTGGTTAAGCGACTGCCTTCGGCTCAGGTCACGATCCTGGAGTCCCTGGATCGAGTCCCACATCGGGCTCCCTGCTCGGCAGGGAGTCTGCTTCTCCCTCTGACCCTCCCCCATCTCATGTGCTCTCTCTCTCATTCTGTCTCAAATAAATAAAGTCTTTAAAGAAAAATAAAATAAAATAAAATCACGAGACATCACATAATCTGGATTTGAACTTCTCTTGAAGTTGGTCTGGGGCAACAACTGGCTGGAATTAAGTAGCAGGTGCTCCTTATGGACAGGCCAGTTTTCCTCAGTCCCTACCACTCCCTACTGCTCCCCAAAAGGGGAACCAAGTGTCATCTACCCTATATATATATATATATATATATGTATGTATATATATATATATATATATATCTCCTTTTCTTCCTCTTAGAGAAAAAATAGAAGTGAACTTTTTTTTTATATTCATGTATCTACCAAAAGTAGGCAAATAACGGGCTGAGATGTAGGGCTGAGATGTAGGGCTTGAAGAAAGATGTTTTCCTTTAGCTAGCTAGAGTCCCTCATTTAGAGTCTCTCTCATTGGCCCCTGTAGGCATTTGCAATCCCTGCTGTAAGCAGCCTTTGCACCCACTGCTCCCATCACAGCCACCCCAGCACCCCCCTCCCCGTGTCATTGTCACCACTGCCTGGGACACCAGGAGTAGCTAGGCAATCTAAGGATCCTGGGGGGCGAGTGCTGGTGGTCAAGCCAGGCTCACAGCCAAAGCAGCAGTAGCGCCCAGCTCACCTGCTCCCCATCCAAAGTCACTGTGACAAGACCAGTAGGGACACCCAGCAGCAAGTTCTAGGTCCTACACGCGCTACGTGACCTTAGGTAAGTTACTGAACCTCTCCACACCTCTCTCCTCATCTGTAAAATGGGCAGTTCTGAGGACTAGGAATTGCTAAAATTTACCTGTTTAGAATGTTTCGCGGCACTAGTAAGTACCCCTTGTTAAAACACGGTAGAAATGCAGTCCCTACAAGGGACCCACAGTCCAAGCATGGCCTGGCGGCTTGCGTGGGAGTTAGTCAAGGGTCACTCGCAAATCAGAAACTCTGTGGATAGAGCAGGAATCTATTTTAACAAACCCTTCAGGTGATTCTGATACCCACTAGTTTGAGAAGCACTGTTAAATAAAAATTTAAAACATTTTTGCATGGGCATTACATTTTGGGGGGGTGGTGTAAGGCAAAAATCAGATATAGCAAAACATCCCTTAAAACTGAATTGCGGGTGTAGTATATTGTATATCATGTCAACTCCTTACAACACAATGTTTCTTGTAACATAAGGAGTGAGGCCATGTGCTGGATACAGGAGTCCATGTGCACTATTTTATATTAAACAACTGAACGGACATTATAGTTGAATAAGGTGTATTTGATTTGATGCCATCTAAACCAGAGCAGACCTCTCCCGCCACTTTCAAAAGGCGGGGTGCCCTGGAGACCAACATGGGACCCGGGACGGGCACTGCACGGTGAGGAGAGCGGGGCAGACCGGACCCGAAGAACGCTGGCCCGGGAGAAGAGGCTCCGGGGTCCGGCCCCGGGGTCCCCTCTCAACACGCAGGGGCCTGGCCAGTGTCCAGGAAGCGGGCGGCTCGGCCCATCCGGGCACAGGGAGGGGCGCCCAGCCAGGCCCCGGGCGGGGGTGGGGGGGGGGGGGGGGGGGGGGGGCGTAGGGGCGGGGCGGGCGGGGAGGAGGGTATTATCCCGAAGCTGAGGGCAGCAATTACATAACAAACAAACCCCGGGCTCAAGCTGTGAATTAATCAAACCGCTGAAAATAAAACCTTCCTCTCAGGAACTTCAGACAAAAGAAATGAAAACAACCAGGCTGGCTGGAAAATAAAAGGCAGCGGGGCTGAAAGGGGGACAAAAGGAAACCAGACAATAGGGTGTTGGACAAAGGCAATAAAGCCAGAGGAAGTGTGACAGGCGAACAATGCGGGCCTGTGCGCTTGTGATCCCCCGGCCGCTCCGCGCCACCTCGTCCCACACCCACCGCTCCGCCGGGCGTGGGCAGGCCACCAGGGCACCTCCTCACTCCCCACTCGGGTCCTAAGGGGTTTTCGCCTCCATCCTGTCCCCAACTTCAGGGCTTCCAGCGCCTACCTCAAAGCCTCTCTCCCATTGCAGCCCAAGACCCCGGCGGCGCAGCAGGGCGCACGGGAGCGGTCCGCTGGGCCCCGAGGCCCCGGTGGTCCGGGCCGCTGCGTCCCCAGGGCAACAGGCTGAGCCACCATCCACCCCCACCCCGGGCTGAAGGGGAAGGCAGAGGAGGTGATTAACAGCCCCAATTAAGTCTAGGACTGCAATGCCCACCACCATGGCCACTCACCACCTGCGGTCACGGAGCTGGTAATCGGCCAGTTCCCGTGCAAATGGAAGTGTAAACTGCACCCCAGTTTCCAAGGCTTAGGATGAAAACCGGAATGTAACCTAGCTCATTAATAAATGGTTATTGATTATATGTTGAAATTACAATGTTTTGGATACATGGAGTTAAATAAAATACTGTTTTCACTTGTTTCTTTTTACACTTCTTCGTGCGGTTACTGGAGAATTTAAAATTACGCATGAGGCTCGCGTTGTATTTCTGTTGGAAAGTGCTGCATTAGGACATCTCCCTTTGAGCTCTGATGGCCTTTTTACCCACACTTAACCCCCAAGAGTACCTCCAGCTGGGCACTGGGGATTATCTTTATACTGGGGAGCTTGCCTCCTGGGGCTCCCAATGGTTCATCCTGGCCTCTGGCACAGCCCCCGCCCCCAACAAAGAAAAGGACTCCTAGTGACCAGCCAAGCTGGCTTGGAGGTGTCTGTTCACCAGGGCGTGGTGCCCACCAAATAACCCTGCCAGATCCTGCTGCCCAGACGAGGCCCCTTCCATTTCCACAGGCGTCTGCCTCAACTTCGGGCACTGGGCCCTGGCTCTCGGTTGGTCTCTCGGGACCCATTTGTTGATGGAGAAGTAACAGCCTAGACCTGAGGGGCTCCTCCCAGGGTCTCACGTTTCGGGGGGTGGGGGGAAGAGGGTCCTTGGGCAGCTCCTTCCCTCCCTTCTGAGTTCCTAGAGCACAGGCCTCTGCCCAAAGAGCAGCCCCTTTCCCTGCCCCCAGAGATGGGAGTCCCTCGGAGAGGGTCAGTGCCAAGCTCTGGACCCTAACCATGCTGCTCTCTTCTCTGAGTGGAGAGCAAAAGCTGCATGTGATAAACTAAATGAGGAGAGAAAGGAGAACCAGGTGGCAGGTACGAAGTTGATATCAGAGCAGTCCCCGCTCTGCCACTCTGCAGCTGACGTCCCTGCATGGGTGGCTTCACCTCTGCAGGCTCTGTTGGTAGGACAAGGGTATTTGGGGGATGATGGTGGGTGGTCAAATTTTGGGTTCCCCAACCTGGATTCAAATTCCTGCTCTGCCACTAGCTGATGTGTGTGACCTTAAGCAAGTTAATTAACTCTGAGCTTCTTCTGTCTCCTCATTTGTATAATGGGTATAAGAATCCCTAACTCACCAGCGCCCGTGAAGATTAATTAACAGAGGGTATCCATTAAGTTGTCATATAGCCCAGGATGCTCCTAGAGTCAGGTGGTTGAGAGAAAAGTTATCAGGGGTGAGACAGACCTGGGCACGTCTAAAAGCCAACTCGGTCCAATCAATTGCTGTGCCATCTGGAGCAAGTGACTTAACCTCTCTGAACTCATTTCCTCCTCAGTAAAATAAGAAAACCTAATAAAGGGATGAGTCTTCCACTAACACTCCAGACTTTATAGTATGTGCCTGTCTTACATTCTTAGGACACCATAAACTTGGCCTTTGGGGTACACTTACCACAGTTGGAAAAGATACCCTTACATGCTTCATTAATCTCTGACTGGCCCAGTAGCGTGAGAACCCACCCACACCCCACGGCATTGTGGAAACATACCTGTTTTTGCTCATCAATGTAGCCCCCAGTCTAGCACAGAGCCTGGAGCACAGCAGGTGCTCAATAAATAGTCATACAATAATCCAAGTATAATACAGTTTGGCAAAATAGCACAAGGCAGATCTGGGCACATAATAAAGAAACAGCTACTACAAATCTTCCTCGACTTATGATGGGGTTATGTCCCAAAAAACCCAGCGTGAGTTGAAAATATCGTTAAGCCGAAAATGCATGTACTCCACCTAACCCACCCAACGGCACGGGCTTAGCCTAGCCCACCTTGAACGCGAACACTTACGCTAGCCTACAGTGGGCAATATCATCTAAACCAAGCCTATCGTATAAAAGTGTTGAGTATCTCATGTAATTTACCGAATACTGTCCTGAACGTGGAAGACAGGCACAGTCACTGTGTGTCTCGTGGCTGGCTGCCTTGGAGCCACCGCCGCCCAGCATCACGAGGGAGCACTGTACCACGTAACCGCCAGCCCGGGAGAAGATCAAAATTCCAAGTATGGTTTCTATTGAATGTGTATGGCTTCCTGACCATCACAGAGTCAAAAAACCGTAAGTTGAACCATCATCAGTCAGACCCTGTCTGTTATTACGCACCAGAAGCTGCTCTCTGCGGCACACTGCCCACACCCACCCGGACTCAGCCGACTCTTCCTTCCATCTAAGCTCTTCC